TAGAGGCGTTACAAATGCTTTATCGACCTTTTGGGAATTAAAAATTTGACGATTGTCAGGGATTCAGGGATTGTGGGGATTGGGGAGGGGGGTGATTGTGCCTCCAGTACTTCACTGACACGCCAAAACACAACTCAAGTGTTATTTCCCGTCGGTTTTATGTGAGGTAGGCCGTGGTATCACGCCAGTTGAGCCAGCCCATTCGTGCCGAAGCATGGCTCTCCCACATTTCACATAGTTTAAAAAGTTCTGGTTTATTACAGCGCACTGCTGCTCGATCTCTGTCCAGTTTTTTTTATGGCATAAGCCGGTAAACGAGCTGACGGATCACCTGATGGCAAACAATCGGCGTCGCCCATGGACACCTGGAACACCAGAGGCGTTACAAGTGCGTCAGCGGCTTTTTGGGGATTAGGAGTTCGAGGATCGTTGGGGATTCAGGGATTGGGGAGATTGGGGAAGGGGAAGGTAATTGGGCCTCCGGTAACTTCACTCACACGACGAAACACAACGCAAACGTTGCTTCACTGCTTCACGTCGGTTTTCTGTGAGGTCGTGGTATCACTCCGGTCGAGCCGGCTTATTCGTGCCGAATCATGGCTCTCCCACACAAATGGCAAAAGCATGGCTCTCCCTCCAGTGCCCATGTCTAGGCCTTTAGTCGGCTCTTATATTAAGATACCTTGGGGAAGATATGGATGGTGACAAATATAATGAAAAGTCTTGAAACAGGTCTTTACGTTCTTACAATTTCTAAATTTAAAAAAACCAATGAATACTTATAAATCCGACTATCCCAGCGGCTTCAAACAGGTATTTCCATGTTTTTTTTCGTTTTTAATTTGTTGTTTTGATTTCAGATGTTTTTGTTAATACTTGTTATAACTGTGTGGAAGTTCTATAGTCAGCACTATTCGACTTTATTCGTTGACCGTAAAAACAGTATTTCGTATTTTTAATCCAATGAATTTAATACGCAGGCAGAATAACTACCGTATGATTGTCATACATTTTTAATATTGTTTTAACTGTGCCATGAAAACTCACTGAAAAGTGGGAAAAGCATTGAATAAGCTCTGGTTTTTGATAAAGTAAAATATTATGATATCTTTTAAACACACAATTTAGTTATAATATAAAAAGCCATTTAAATAAAAAATAAAAAAAATAGGACTGTCCCAAAAACTGTGAAGTCTGTGATGTCATTGCAATTGTAATCGTCGACCGTAGATCATAGATTCTTCGAAAATACAATTAAATATAAACCCAACTATCAGAACATAACATTAAATTATTATTATGTAATAAACAATTCAACAATCTAAAGTATATAATAATAAATTCAGGACGTGGCTGCTTCTAATCTTATTTGAAATCGTCAAGGTATGTATAATCTCACTGAATTTGACACTATTAAATTAAGCTTACCGGGAGCGTCAACCTACCTATAATGAAAATTGATTCATTGACCCGGGAATCAAACCCGAGAACCCCTTGCCCGGCAGTCGCTATTGCGGCTACTCGGCCAACGAGGCCGTCTAAAACTGGTATTATAATAATGATATTTACGTCCTTTATTTATTTATTTTATTTTATTAACACTTCTGTATAACAAACATACGATGGCGGACTTTACACAATTATCACGTTATTTCATCTTCATCATCTTCGTCATGTCAGCTAGAAGATGTCCATTGCTGTCGATCAAGGTGTTAAGTCTTACAAAAGTACATATAATGACGAAATTCACCTACATACATTTTATATGTAGTCATTATTACTATTCCCATATATTTATTTTGAATAAATACTACTTACAAAAAAAATAATTTAAAATATAATAATAAGAGCCAGTAGTGGGAGCATGGTCCAAGCTACCGGTGGTTAGGGCTCCAGAGATAGAAACCTCCTCACGATGCGCGCCGTTTCAAGGAGAACTGCCTTCTGTATCAAGTCTTAGTCATTATTATTATTATGACTTGCGATTGAAATACTGAGATATTTTGTTTTTATAACAGCAACATGATACACGTGGGTTCCATACTTTTTATAGAACATCAAGTGTGGGCAGCCTTCAGACATCAGTTTGATAAAAAACTAAAATCTTGTTGTCAACTTGAGACCAAACAGGTGCCTGGTCTCAAATTTCTTCCCACCTTCTGTAAGTGACTTCTGTAAGCTTTATGCTAAGCCAAAGCCTAAGTATTGGGGTCATGCAATTTTAAAACGTTACGAGGGCCTCTTTGCATAATCTATTTATTTATTCTTAGAATACAAGATCAGTGTTGAGAAAAAGTATCTACGTCTTGAACATCTAAAAGAAATTGTAGGTGTACCTTTAATGACTTGTTTTTCTGATGTACCTAGAAGTACCCAGAAGTAGTTTAATATTACATTTAGTTAAATAAATTCATATTAAAGGTGAAAATCAAAATCAGGTTATAAAATATTATATATATAAATACATAAATTGAACTCAGCATTTGAAAACGAATGCCCAAGAATCCCTTTTAAATCTCCATGGCAAAATTACTACTCATTAAATTTATATTGGCTCCTTATTATTTTACTGTCATTTTCAACTAGATATTGAAATTAAGTTTCATCGGAATTTTCTCATTCTAGGTCAATGGCCTCTCTACTGATTACTTTTCTTAAACCCATGGCGCCATTCTCAACAACTTTATTAGCTCTGGCATTATTGTCTCAATATCGAGGACAGGACTTGTTTTTCAATTACTAGAAGCAACCGGGGGCTCGTCAAAGATTATGACTTAATTTAATTTTGAAATAACTAGTAGACGAAGAGTCATATCATATTTTTATTGTTACTGGTATATTTCGCTGTTGGATCCAAGATAAAAATTATTTTCAGTCTCTGAGATGCATCTTCAATATTTCAGTATTTTTGTTGAAAATCGTAGCTTATGGAAGATACAGTAACTGGATTGATATACATGGTGTATGTCCCAAAAATATAGTATGTCTTATGTACTTTGTTTGTTGTTTTAAGGCAATTTTTTTTTTTTTTATTTATTTTGATTAACCAACATTTGTTTACACTATATACATTACTGATTAAATTACTAAAAAACCTTTTACAAGTGCAACATTTAATTATAGGTTAACACCAAATGCAAAAAAACGGTAAATAAATAACATAA